AAATAAAATGGCAGTGGGCCTCCCCGGTGGTGCAGCGGTTGAGCGCTGAGTTGCGAAGCTGCCTGCGGCCTCTGCGGCGCCGGTTCGATCCCCGGCTGCTCCCCGGCCACCGGAGGAGGGTCCCACATGGCGCCCAGACCTCTCCTGCCACCCGCTGCTCCCCTCGGCAGTGTACCTCGGTCCTTCTGCCTGCTTTGCTCCCCGCTCTGGCTCTGGTGAATTCTCTCACCCTCCCGCGCTTCTGACTGTACCCAGTGCTTGTATATATAAATGAATGAATGAATGAATGAATAAACAAACAAACAAACAAACAAACAAAATGGCAAATTTTCTCCCCTTCCAAATGAGTGCGACAGAAGGCAATGAGGTAATATTTAGGAGTGGGGGGACATGCCCCATCTCCCTGGAGCAAGGTTCCACGGGTAGGCACGCTGTGGTCCTGGGGTGCATTGTCATCCCACTGCTCTGCCCTGAGCAAGGGGGGAGGGGAGCTCACCCCAGTTGGAAGCTTAGTCTGCAGGGGGTTTTATGGTCCCCCCTCTCCCCCCCTGCTCAGCTCTGCCCCTGGGGCAGCCCCTGCTGACTCCTGAGCTATTAGAGGCGGAGCCAGGCCTCCTCCAGCTGCTTCTCTCGTTCAGTCCCTGACACCCGTGTGTTTGTGAATTGGCCAACTGGAACATGCACACACGGGAACCGAGAGCTGCTGGCAGATCTCCCGGCTCCAGCCATTGAGTGTCCCAAGGACAGTCACCATCTTCCAGATCAGGCAGAGCCCGCTGGAGGCAGCTTGGCCTGGTGCCGCTCCCCCCGCCCTGCTTGTGCCCTGTGCCCTTTATGTGTGCGTGTGGAAAGGTCACTCTTCTTTGTAGTTAATTTACATACACAATCGAGGGACCATGCTCCCTTTGGAATGCCCGAACATTGCGTATCAACTAGGAGGACTCTGACCCCATCCATACCCTGCACCCCCTCCTCCCCACCAAGATGGGAATCAGGTGCACCTGCCAGATATTTTCTTCAAGTGATTTTACATCCTCTTGCTTTTGCGTACGTGGAAAACAGTGTCGTGTGATGAGGTTTCGTGGCGAGTCATGTGATGTTGCCTGTGTCCGAGCTGCAGCTTCTGCTCCGCTCACACCACGTCCCTGACGTCCCCACACCAAGCTGCCGGGCTGCAGCCATCCTGGCGCTTGCCACGTGGTCACGCACCACATGAATGGAGCCGTTATCGACTTTCCCTTGTTTCTGGACATTTGGGTCGTTACACACCCAAGTCCTGCTGCCAACATCCTTGTTCCTGTCTCTTGGCCCACCCATGTGTTTTCCTTGGGAATCTGCCAGTTGCCAGGTCATACGACGTGAAGCTTTCAGTTTTAAGAAATAATGCTCATTTGTGCTTCATCCTTCTCCCACAGCAGTTTTGAGAATACAGGTCTTCCCGGGTCCTTCCAGGACCCTACACCATCCGCCATGTTGCTGTTTGCCACTCCGTTGGGAGGGGTTGGTATCTGGTCTTTGTTCCCTGACAGGGCTAATGTTCTCTAATTTTTGCATGTACGTGGCCTTCCTCTCCAGCGATGCCCTTCACAGTCACTGCTTTATTCAGTCATTGCCTCTTAGAGCTGTTCTGCAAATACATCCCCTCCTCTGTTTGCTTACAAAGTCATTTTTAGACTTCAACTAAATTGTGATGTGATGTCATCAGTATATCAATCTCCCATTTATTTGTATGTCTAGGTTCTTTTTTTTTTTTTTAAAGATTTCTTTATTTATTTATACAAGCACTGGGTACAGTCAGAAGCGCGGGAGGGTGAGAGAATTCACCAGAGCCAGAGAGGAGAGCAGAACAGGCAGACTGACGAAGTACACTGCTGAGGGGAGCAGCGGGCGGCAGGAGAGGTCTGCGCACCATGCAGGACCCTCCTCCGGTGGCCGGGGAGCAGCCGGGGATGGAACTGGCGCGTCAGAGGCCGCGGGCAGCTTCGCAACCCAGCGCTCAACCGCTGCGCCACCAGGGAGACCCTAGGTTCTTATTTCTTTTTAAAGAAGTCCTTCCCTGCCCCCGAGGTCATACGGATAATCTCCTAGATTGTCTTCTGATAATTTTCTGTGCATGCTTGAGTAGAGTCCTAGGCTCCACGTCTTTTGAAGTGAAGGTGGTGAGGAAGGACCCCGGAGATTCAGATGGGCAACGCCCATGTACAGATGACCTGTCCCCTCCACTGGCCTCCTCTGGCACACACCACCTCCACATGCCAGGTGGGGAGGCCATGGAGGCCTCCACACTCTGAAAGAGCCTCCCTGTGTCCCCGCATTCCACCCTGGGGCCCGGTCCCCAGCATGGCTCCTGGTGTCTACAGGCAAAACCCACCCCTGCCTGCGTGGAGGCAGACGGAGGGCTTAGACGTGGGCAGAACCTTCAGCACCTCTCTCCTAGGCCTTGCTCTGTGCAAGGCACCCTGGCCGTCCAAAGGTGAGCAAACAGCCCGCGGACTGGCCGTTTGTGGAGTGTGTGGGGCAGCCGGGCGCCACGGTGGTGAAGGAGTTCCCTAAAATGACACCCCAGAGGCCTACACTTGAGTCACTCTAGCCAGCATTCCCTTGATCTCCAGGAAGGATGCCGCCCACTCCCTTTCTCCTTAACTGCCCCACAGCTTCTGGAAATCCAGGCCTCCCTGCCCCTCCGAGCAGCCTGCCTCCCAGGTGACGGCCGCCTTTTAGTTTTTCTTATGAAATCTCACTCTTCTGACAGGGCTTTGATGTCTCAGTTGCATTCTGAAAGTTGTTCCGCTTTGGGGTTTTGTCCTTCCTTTTTTTGTTCTTTGTGGTGGAGGTGGTAGGTCTTTTCCCCCCTGAAGACCTTGAGGCTGCTGGGCTTTATGAGGGGTTTACCTGCCAACAAGCCCCATTGGCAGCAACACCCAGGGCTGTGCCTCCTTTCCCAGGTCAAACCCTCAGACGTGAAGGTGTGAACAAGAGAAAGTCGTCACCCTGTTTAGATAGGGGAAGGAAAAGAAGAGGAAAAGCTTCCTTTATTGGTCCAGTTTTGTTTTGTTTTCTATTTTTACCAAGTCCGAGATCCCCATTGAGGACAGTGTTTTAAGTTTCAAGTGAAGAAAATAACCTCCCTCCCACAGAATGTTTCTAAGAATGGACGTGACAACTTCCATTTCTGGTCACATGGAAGACTAGGTGTCTTCCAGGGTGGAACTAAAAAATATTTTTTGGAAATCTTTTTGAGTTCTTGGCTGGTCTGTTGGGAAAGGGAGCAAGATTCTGGCCTGAGATAATAAGGAAGTTCATCCCAGAGAGTGGTCCTTCTCTGCTGGGGTTTGCCGTGGGTTTCTCGCCGTGGCAGCTCAGTGGTCAGATGCTGAGGAGAAGAAACACAAAGCCTGTAAAAGCCGGGAGGGTGGACGGAAGCCTTCCAGTGAAGCCAGAATTCCAAACAGATTAAGCTATCAGAGGGTTCAACGGAGGCGTGTGGGGGAAGGTGGTGCCTGAGAGGTTGGGGAGAAATTTACCGTCATCCTTAGATCCTGAGATCTAAATGAAAGTCGTTGAGGAACACCTTAGCCTGAGTTTGTTCTCATGTGTGTTTGGGGCCAGAGTTTACACCGTGTGTGTTATACCCCCACCACCACTCATAAATTGAAGCCAAATACTCGGTTACAGTGCTCCCAGTGGAACTTAGCAGGGTGATAGAAGTGTTTTATAGCTGTGATGTAGTTATGTTCAAAGCAAATTTACTAAAACTCAAACTGTACCTTTAAAATGCTGCATTTTATGGTCTATAAATTAAACCACAGTAAAGACGTTTAAAAAAAAAACCCCACCTACCATTCTCACCATTTATTGGGATTTTTTTTTTTTAATCTATCAGAAGCATAGTAGTAAAGTTTTTATCCTGTCTTTCATTTACAGTTTTAATGTTTTTCCCAATGTCATTGCAATTGTTTGTAAATCATATTTTTAAGTTGGGATTTTTTAATATATTTCAAAAGTACAAATTGAAAAATTTCTCTTAACGCGATTTCTAGCAATTCAGTGGACAAAAAGGCAATATAATAGCCATTGATGCTCACACACACACACACACACACACACACACACACACACACGCTTCTCACTTCCCTCCTCTTAGGTAACCAACAGTTCACAATTTGGTTCAACATAATTTTTAAATGGGCATATAATTTTCCATGCAATGAGGAGGGGAATCTTGCTCAAACTGTTCCTATATTTGGAGGCATTTAGGTTGTTCCTGGTCAGGCTATTTCTTTTCAAATAAATACAGCAGAAGATTCCAACAGAGGGAGTTCCGAGCAGACAGGCTATGTAATGTTCCCGTGTTATTCTGGTGATTTTGATACCATCGAGGACAGACTCTAAATTAGACATCAGATTTCAAGTCAGAGGCGTGACCAGCATACACTGAGGCCACACTAAATGCTTTACCCATCTGTTCTCATTTAACTCACCACACACCCCAAGCTAAGACATTACCCCCATAGTACAGATGACAATGCTATGTATCTCGCCCTGAGTCAATGCTGTCTAGTGCAGAGCTGGGTTCTGAGGCCCCACTGGGGGCTGGGTGACTGCATCTCTGAGCAGGGGGCTCATGTCTTCCTGTTTCACCTAAATTGGGTAACCGCCATTTCAGCAGTAAGCCACCCTTGCTCTGCCAGGCAGCAGGGAAATGTTAATGGGATTTTCCATTTGTTGGTTATTTTTTTAGCTACCATATGAGTGCCTGACGCTTTAGCCTTCTCACTCTGAGAGGGATGGGCATTCTCCCCATTTTTCAGATAAGAAACATGAAGCCTAGAGAGGGGTTAAAAAAAAGTGCCCAGCATGACTGAGAGGGACCCAGACCCAGGTGTGTGGGACTCACCCTGGGCTCTGGCCACTGGGCTCTGCTGCCCGATAGCAGGTGGGCCCAAGTCTCCAGCCGCTGCACGGCAGGGCTTTGCCTCACTCTCGTCTCCCTCTTCCAGACAACAGCGACCTGATCGCCTGCACAGTCATCACCAAGGATGGCGGCATGGTCCAGCGCTTCCTGGCTGTCGATATTTACCAGATGAGTTTAGTGGAGCCCGACGTGTCCAGGCTTGGCTGGGGAGTGGTCAAGTTCGCAGGCCTTCTGCAGGTACGATGCCCCAGAACTCCGGAAGCCCTTCTCAGCCCTTGTCTGTGCAAACGCCCACACCCAAGGATCATTTTACAGCGAATTTCTGAAGACGCTAGGACAACACAAGCAGATTCTCATTGACAAAAGTTAAACTATCACAGAGATAAGGGCCCAGTTCTCTTTGACCAAAACCCTCAATTCTGTAAACTTTCTCCTCCATGTATCAATAGAGCTCTCCAGGTCTGGCACTCTGCCAAATTATAAATATAACCACATGAGCCGCTTTGAAAAACCATATGTATACATTTGACTGGAGGTATGTGTCTGTATTTTTGTAGGGTCACGCTGAGTGGATGCTTACCTTGGCTTTTTTCGCCCAGTGTATGTCTCAGAGCTGACGGTGTTCGTGTGTGCAGACTGCCTGATATTCTTTTAGCTGCTGCCTGACTCCAGCTAGCCACGGTTAGCCAGGGCCCTGGGGCTGTTTCCAGCTTTTTACCTTTACAAACAGGCTGCTAGGAACAGAATCCTTCTTACTTTCCTTGTGCACTTGGGCCTGGTAGGATTTCTCTACCCGGATACCAAGAAGTCTGAGTCCACCCGCTTTCTGTGGGCTCACAGACATTGCCAAATTCCTCTAAAGTGATTGCTGGCATTGGCCGTTTATGGGAGTTCCCTCTTCCTCACCCCTCTCCAGCAGAGCTGGGCGCTGAATTGCCAAACACTGAGCAGGGTTCATAAGGCTTGTCTACATGTGGGTGACTAATGCCCACACGTTGATTGAATGAGGCCTAGAAACAGAGGGGTTGAAAACAGCCCTCCTGCTCACACCCCTGACAATACCCCACAGACACTTCCCGGCCTGCTCCCAGGCAGTCTGTTCCTGCTGGCTGGCCAGGCCTCGCCCAGCTGACCCACAGCCGCCCCCACCCCATATATTTGAGGAGGCCCTGTCCATCTCCTGTTTTTCAAGATCTTTCCATTAAAAAATGTCTTTTACCGAGGGGGATGTGAGAAGCAACTCTATGAAAAATTTTTCATTTAGGAAGACGTCCATGTAAGAGGTTGTCCATTAGGTGACTTTTAGTGCTTCTTGTTTATCTAGGTTTATGATCAATTTCCTTTAGAATTTAGTGTCAGGAAAGTGTTTTTCTCCCTCAAAAGATTAATACGTGTCCTCCATCAGACAATGAAAGCCACATGAGCTTGTTTTTTTGGTTGTCTTCCAGCAGCTGCTATTTCTCAGGCCATTACTACATGCCAAATTGTCTGTTGTAAATGCGTAATATCTCAGTGGGTCCCCGCTGCAACATTTTGACACAGGTATTATTTCCAAAGAGCCTGTGCCCCATCTAATGCCTGGGAACGCGAGTCTGTAGTCAACATTTTTTCACTTCTGCTAGCATTTCTCATTTTTTGTGTCTGTCTCCTGTTTCATGCATTTATCTTAAAGCACCCCCAACCTTAGTGGGAAGCAGGTTCTTTGTATAGAATCTAGTCTGAGGTTTGGGATTGGGTTCATCCTTATTACACTTGAAAATCAGGTTGTGATTTTCTTCCCCCACCTTTTAAGCTTAACTTTCTTCAACTCTCTGCCCAGTGGTCCCTCCCTGTCCCTGCTTTGGGGTTAGCTTTCTTCTTCAGGGACCAGAAACTCTTTGGAGACAGACAGATGGGTACCAGTGATGACCCTTCATAGGAGAAACAAGGAAAAAATTGGTTAGTAGATGAGGAAATGTATCTAAGGTCACGCCAGATGGCCAGAGGAATTTGGGGTCATTATTTCTGGCTTCTCAGAAGAATCATTGACCACTGGGCTACCCCCAGCCCTCTGAGAGGCCAGTGTGCCATTATCCACTGGCCGACTCAAGGCCTCCTAGGGATGGGTACCAGCACCGCAACCAGTGTCATCTTCCCCATCTGCTCCCACTCGCCTGGGTCTGGTCTCTGCCCAGTCTCAACTCTCTTAGACTCAGGAAGCCATGTGTCCTTCAGACCGAAAGCACCGTTGGCTTTGGAGGATCTCTTTCTAGACAAGACAAGGACCCCACAGCTTCTGAGTAGCTCCCTCTTCCTCAAGCTAACGGACACCCTTTCTTTGTCCTCTTCCCGCGCAGGACATGCTGGTGACCGGCGTGGAGGATGACAGCCGTGCCCTGAATATCACCATCCACAAGCCTGCGTCCAGCCCCCACTCCAAGCCCTTCCCCATCCTCCAAGCCACCTTCATCTTCTCCGACCACATCCGCTGCATCATCGCCAAGCAGCGCCTGGTCAAGGGCCGCATCCAGGCAAGGCGCATGAAGATGCAGAGGATCGCTGGTGAGTGGCTGCCGCCCAGCAGTGCTTCCTCTGAGCCCATGAGGGGACGGAAGCAGCCATGGGGCCATCAGTGTGGTTCTCATGCTGACCTTGAGAGCCACCGAGACTCCTCCAGAAGCAGATTCATGGGGTTCAGCATTAATGGGTTGTAGTGAGAAGAGTGGGGCTTCTGCTCAGAATTCCCTGCTTCCTAAGGGTTTGATTCTAGAGAGTTTCTAGGACTCATGAAAGAGCAGGAAAACCAGGCTGTAGTGTGAGAGCAGGTGGCAACAGAACAGTTCTCACTCCCACAGGTGGGCATTGCCCAGCTCGCCTCCACCAGGTACTGCCACATCCCTCTACCACCTCTGAGCCTTGAAACACCTCGTGAGATCAGTAAGGCCTGTTCTGCCCATTTTACACAAGAGTAAACTGAGGCCCAGTGACTGGCCCAGAGTCAAGCAGACCACTCCTTGGCCGGACTTGTGGTCAGGCTGCTCTTCCCAGCTCTCCCGAGAGGCGGCCATGCTTGGGGAGGGGCCGGGACCACCCTGGACTCGGGAGTGCGTCTCCAATTCACAGGAATCATGGTGGATTTCTGAGGAAGCCGGCCCGGCCCAGTGTCAGGTCGGCTGCAGCCTCCTTGGAAGTGGAGGCTTTCCAATGGGGGCGCCCCTCCCCGCGGCGGGCCACACGGCCTTCTCCTGGGGAGGAGCTGTCTCTCGGTTAGGACAATGGTGTCTTTCTCCAGACTCCAGTACAAGCCCCACTGGTCATTCTGGTGTGGCTGCTGGGAGGATTTGCAGCCCTCCGGGGGTGAAGAAGAATTTTCTCCAGGGATAACCTAAAAATAAACACTCGGAGGGCTGGGTTTCAGCCCACTGCAGGCTGGGTTATCTGCCATGCGGGCCGGCATCTCACACGTTCGCATCTTATTTCCCACTTAGCTGAAACTTGGCCTGCAGAACCATTGCAGAAGCATTTTGTAATGTGCAAAGTGACTTAAATCATTCAGTCCTTTCTTTGAAGATTTATTTTCAGCTTTTTTTTTTTTAATGTAAAGCAATTTCTCACAGCTGGCATGAAGGCTAAATATTTCATTTGGAAATTGAGAATTAGGCTGTCAAGTGGCTGTTAGAACTAACGCCTTGGGTGTTTCTTAAATTGATTTAAAAACCCCCCTCCAAATTGCTTTATCATGAGATTTGTTTAGAGAAGGGAGGACGGCAGCTGTGACATAAACACCCACAAATGTGCACGTACTCCTGGCACGTCCTCTCACGTGCCCTTCCCGGGCACATGTTTGTATGCATGTAAACGTGCAGGGCAGAGCTGGCCCCATCTTGGAGCCTGGCAAGGGTCTTTGTGGGTGGAAGCTGAGGGCACGAGGTGGAGACTGGCCCTGCACCCATTTCTGAGGCCCTCACCAGACACGGGTGGTGTTCCCGACCTCAGGCAGGACCGTGCTGTCACGCTAGTGTCCCCAGCATGAGTGGCCAGCTGCCTGTATGCCACCTCCCAAGCCACGTGCCTGACGGGGCCACAGCCTCTCTGGCTACAGCTGCCTGCCCAAGGTCCACCCCCCTGAGCATGTACCACCATGTTGTTTGATTGCAGCCCTCCTGGACCTCCCGATCCAGCCAACTCCCGAGGTCCTGGGCTTTGGCTTCGGCTCATCCTCTTCCACCCAGCACCTGCCTTTCCGCTTCTACGACCAGTGCCGCCGGGGCAACAGTGACCCCACGGTGCAGCGCTCTGTGTTCGCGTCGGTGGACAAGGTGCCAGGTAAGCGGCCCCTCCTGCACGGCTCACGTCCCTTCCTGGGCACGGGGTGCCAGGGCTCTCTACTGAGCCATGTGCGCTTCCCTCCCCCGAGACATCCTTCCACTGGAAGCACTGTTTCCTAGAATTTATCAAAGTAAAGCAGAAGATTAAACACAAACCCCGGAAAGAAATCTTTGTGTTCGCTGCCTGGGTTTGGTTTTCCAGACATTTATTGGGGATGTGGAAGAACTTCTGAGAACTTAGACTATGAAGTTTCTTGGAAATACTTAAATTATTAGTAAGGAGGTTGTGGAAGAGTAATTTCCTTCTCCCTGTAAAATGACTAGAAAGAGAGCACTACGTGGTTCCTGTCACATCTCCTGAAGAAGTGAGACCAGGAGAAGCCTCCCCTGCCCACACAGGCCCACAGTGTCTCCTCCCATAAACTTCTCTTCCCACTTTCACCAAAGGTCATCTCAGACTCCCCACCTCCCCCCGCCTCCAAAAAAAAAGAAATTTGAAGAGAAAATCTGAAAGTTCTCCAGGTGGGCAGAAAGTTCTCCTAGGGGGGTAGGAAGACTCTTCTCTCCCCTAGTCTCAGGGATCTGCCTTAAGTAAACCCACACACGCCCCATCCCTCAAAAGAGAATCTTCCTCTGAATTACAAAACTGAAGACAACTGGAGCCTGCAACTTAGCCTCTCCATGCTGTGGGATGTTTGCAGTAACAATAAGAACAAAACACCCCCATTAGAACCTGCCCAACATCAGGCTCCCACCCCCACCCCCAGCCCCCAACTAAGTCATTTTCACTCTTTGATTTTTCACTTTAGAAATATGCACCATAAGCATATGATTTTTAAACAGGGCAAGGTAAAATGAGAAATGAGTGTGCTTTGTCCAGAAGTGGCCACTGTTCAGTTTCTTGCAGGCCCTTCCAGGGCTTAGTGTGTGTTACGCTGCTTGCACACTGGCATTACACCGTCTACGTGGGTCTGCTCCTCGCCTTTTTTCACGCAGTGATAAATTGGCCTTACATGCTAGTGCTGTTAAGTCCACCCCGTGGTTGTGTTATAGAAATAAATTCTAGCCTTTTACCCAGGCAGAGGGAGAACAAGCGGTACTTCAGGAATGGTGAGGTCAGGAGGAGCTTTATTACTCATGCGTGAGGTCCCAGGCCTGGGTAGTCCCACAAGGTCTGAGCACTGGTTTAAAGACCAAGGTTCCTTTTATACACAGCTGTGTCCATGTCTGTTACATGGATAGCATCGCTTTTCAGCAGACACAACCATTTGCGGCAAAGTCCCCAGACAAGGGGGCAAAGCAAGGGGGGAAAGATGCAGGCATTTGGGGATGGCCTTGGAGAGAGAGACCAGCTGGTTGGCTGCCCGGCCTTGTAGATAAGAGCGCTGAGGCCCTGGCCAGGAATCTTTATTTTTATTTTTTATTTTTTTATAAATTTTATTTTTATATTCCCCATACAATTGCAGCCCCCCCATTCTGACCCCAATCCCTCCCCTCCCGCCCCCGCCCCCCTAAAAGTGTCTCTGGTTCATAGTTTTTTGTTGATTTTGATTTTCACTTTCTTATAGTTATTCATTTTCCTGGTCCCTTATTTAAGTTTTCTAGATTCCTGCTATGAGTGAGACCATCCGGTATTTTTCTTTTTCTTTTTGGCTTATTTCGCTGAGCATAATCCCTTCCAGCGCCATCCATGTTGCTGCAAATTGCATGTGTTTATCTTTTTTGAATGCTGAGTAATATTCCATGGTGTATATGGACCACATCTTCTTGATCCAGTCATCTATTTTTGGGCATTTGGGCTGTTTCCAAAGCTTAGCTATTGTAAACAGTGCTGCTATAAACATAGGGGTGCAGGTGCTCTTTGGAATTGATGTTTCTGTGTCCTTTGGGTAAATACCTAAGAGTGGAATTGCTGGATCCTATGGAAGCTCTATGTTTAGTAGGTCCAGAAATCTCCACACAGCTCTCCACAGTGGTTGGACCAGTTTGCACTCCCACCAACATTGCAGGAGAGTTCCTTTTTCTCCACACCCTCGCCAACATTTGTTGTTGCTAGTTTTTTTAATATGTGCCATTCTCACTGGTGTAAGATGGTATCTCATGGTAGTTTTGATTTGCATTTCCCTGATGACAAGTGATGTTGAACATTTTTTCATATGCCTGTTGGCCATTTGCATTTCCTCTCCAGAGAAGTTTCTTTTTAGCTCTTCTGCCCATTTTTTGACGGGATTATTTTCTTTGTTGTTGTTGAGTCTCATCAGCTCTTTGCAGGTTTTTGTGATCAGTCCTTTATCATTAGTGTTGGGTGCAAAAATGTTCTCCCAGTTGGTGGGGTTTCTCTTTGTTTTTGTTATTGTCTCTTTTGCTGTGCAGAAGCTCTTTAATTTGATGTAGTCCCAGCTGTTTATCTTTGCCTTCACTATCACTGCTTTGGGTGATGTGTCTGTAAAGATGTCTTTGATGTGCAAATCACATAGTGCTTTCCCTATATTTCCTTCTATATATTTTATGGTTTCAGGTCTTATGTCTAGTTCTTTAATCCATTTTGAGTTGATTTTTGTGTATGGTGTGAGGTAGTGGTCAAGCTTCATTCTTTTGCATGTAGCGACCCAGTTTTCCCAGCACCATTTATTGAACAAACTTTCTTTGCTCCAATGCATAGTCTTTGCTCCTTTGTCAAAGATTAGTTGACCATAAATCTGTGGGTTTATTTCTGGATTTTCTATTCGATTCCATTGGTCTATATGTCTGTTCTTGTTCCAATACCATGCAGTTTTGATGATTATGGCTTTGTAGTATAGTTTGAAGTCTGGGAGTGTGATGCCTCCATTCCCTTCTTTTTTTTTCAGGAGAGCTTTGGCTATTTGGGGTTTTTTGTGATTCCATATGAATTTCATCAATAATTGTTCTATTTCTTTGAAGAATGACATTGAAATTTTGATTGGAATAGCATTGAATCTGTATATTGCTTTTGGAAGGATTGGCCAGGAATCTTGAAAGGGAAGGAGCCGTAAGTCAGCAAACTTGTTGATTACGCCTGCACTGGATGTTCATTGCACCTGGGCTGGAAGTTCTGCTGGACTCTTTATTATATTCATTTGCTCAATAATAGATTTTCGCTTCAGTTGTTCATTGCAGTATTGTATTTTATCCTGATGGACCAAAAATATCTCTCACAACATTTTGCAAGGAGGGACATTTGAGTCATTTTCGGTGACTGCTCTGCTGTGTCACAGTGAACACCTCGGGGTATCTTGTGTAACTGCTGCTCTCACCTGTCTGCGCACTGCCGGGGCCTTGGGGAAAGTTTCACCTTCATGGAGGTCATCCCGCCCAGCACTGTCTTAAAACCAGTCTCAGGCTGCAAGACTGTGGCCCAGCCTGTCTTCTCCTATGAGATATGAGATGGTTCCACCTGCTCCGTTTCTGGAGGCGTCTTTGTTAAGCCTCCTCCAGGCTGCGTCACGGCAAGTTCTCTAGAGATGTTGACCAAGTGCAAATAGATGCTAAAAGGGAGTCTAGGTTAACGAGATGCAGATCTCTTACCTACCACGTGAGAAATCGCTTCTTTAGGCTCGCCGGGGCTTCTTACACTCAGGATTGAATGGGTTCAGGAGAAAAGCCCTGGCCTTCTTTCCGCTCCAGCCCCTTTTGGAAGAAGTTGGGTGTTAATAAATAAGCAGAGCCAAATGTCACATTCTTGAGCATCTGCATAATCATCTTTCTGTTTGCAGAAGGCTTTCTAATGACTTATTCCTTATTTCTCCTAGCCTGCCTGGGCTCCAGGGAAGGGGTGAGGTCACCCAAGGCTGGGGTGTGGGGGGAGGAGGGGGTGTGGCCCTTTCTGAGTGTGGCCCTTTCGGCCTGCCTGACTCAGGACCAGAGCTGCCAGAGTTCCTAGTGGCTGATCCAGGGACGGGGCATGTGAGGTTGGGGTGGTTGAGACTGTGGCAAGTGAGAGGGAGCTGCTGATGGTGGCCAGTCTCTCCCCAGCAGTCCCCGGAAGCGCTACTTCAGTGTTTTGGGGTTGGGAGGCCAGTCTCGCAGATGTGCCCCAGGGGAAGCTGCTCTGGACCCTTGGGGAGAGACTTCCTTGCCTTCCTGCCTTGACCTGGGCCGGAAATGCGTGTGACCTAAAGACCAAGTTGAAGTCACGGAGCCTCAGCAAGAGAAGAGGAGCAGCTCTCCGCCCCCCCCCCCACCTTACCATCTGCTGTCTCAGTACTCAGCCCCCCGCCACTCAGCATTTGGGAATCCTCCTTCAATTTCTTTTTTCCGCTCCCACACCTGCTGACCTGCTCTGCCTCCACCTTCTCTTCCCCTCTGGACCACCAGCATCTTCCCTGAGATCACAGCAGCAGCATCCTCAGTATTCTCTGGCTTCCATTCAGCCAGGGGGATCTTGCTAAAACATAAATCAGATCATGTGTCCTATCAGATCGTCAGTCCGACAGCAGCCCTCCAGCAGCTTCCCATTGCCCTGAGAACAAAACCCAGACCTCTCACTCTGCTCTTGTGTGGCCCCCGTGGGGTTGGCTGGCTCCTCTCACACCGCCCCTTTCACACCACCTTCCCCAGCTGCACCCCACCCCAACCTGCCCTGCTTCTCACTCAGCGCTTCTCAAGGTTTTGGTCTCAGGCCTCCTTAGGCGCTTTAAAAAAAAAAAAAAGTAAGGAACCCAAAGACGTTTGATGTTTCTGGTGTAGAAATTAAACTGAGAAATGCTTCAAATACTTACTTATTTAAAAATAATAATAAACCCACCACCACACAGAAACCTAAATAGCACAGCTTTTTATGAACAGTAACTGCCCCCCAAAATTGGCTAATATTTTTGTATATCTTTTTAATAGACAGCTGGGATCTCACGCCTTCTGCTGTCAATAGTGTGGTCGTGTTTGTTGCCTCTGGAAAACTCTTCTGTTTACTGAAAGTACAAGGAAAATGCCCCCTGGCATTCCCCTGACCTTACTTTGAGAACCACCACTGGAAGTCAC